ATTCTGAAAGGTCTTAAGGTCTTCTTCGTTTTTATGTTGGTTGTCATGCAAAAATATGTTAAAAAGTAATTTTGATTGTTTACCTGAAAAATTATTATGAAATGTGACATAAAAATGGCAATTGATATTGCTAAGTTTTCTAACACTTTTAGATTTTAAAATAGCTGTATTAATTATGCAATAAGAATTGAAGAGAAAAGTCTGTAATACTCTCAATAATCTAACATTGATAAAAAATTTTTTAAAATATTTCCAAAAAAACAGACAATATATTAAAAATGTCTATATTCTGTCTTTTCTTTACATCTCAAGAAAAATAAGTCTTTTGGTAGAGTTGGTTTTTATTTAGAGGATTTTTTAATTGTGCTATTGCCAGAGGAAATTTTAATAATTTTTTTTGTGTATTGAGGTGAATGAAAAGCCTGTAAATAAAGATTCACTTCACTGAAACACTGCTATTTTCCTAAGAGGTGAAAAAAAGGTCAGAATATAGATATTTTTAATATATTGTCAGTTTGTTGAAAGTTTTTAAAAATTTTTAACTGTTACTGTTCTTAGCCATTTTATCAAAATTATTACACAGTCAAACTGGTCTATAACAGAACCCCAAGGGACCGAACAACTCTTCCGTAGTAGACAGGTTACCTATTATCCCTTGATTAATGCGATTAATAAATTTTTCAATGTTATCATGTTAATCAAATACAGTGGTACTTTGGTACTCAACCGAATAATCATCACTTGATACAACAGATTTTCAGTTAATAACAAATATTTTTATTGTAACTTTAATTCTTTCATTCATTCGTAAAAAAGTTCTCTAAGATAAAAATGAGTAACCAATTTAAAAATAAAATAAAATTTTACAGCTGCCTACCTTTGCCAGACCAAATTATACTCAATTCAGTTTGTTTTATTCATAAATGAAGGGAAAAAAAAAACTTCATGCAGAGCACAATCACTAGCTTGTTTTACAACCATTTCAAGTGGATGAAGTGTTTCAACAATACATGTTGGTGACACACTAAGAGTTGTTGCAAATTCACAAGTTGTTAATCCTTAACATTTTCTTCCCACAATTTCTCTTCAACAGCTTTTGCGGACTCATATGTTCTGTATCCTTTATATACAAACTTTCCCGAACAAAACTTTCAAAACCACATTTGACACATTTGGAGTTTACAAGCATCTTTCCCATACACAGTAAGAGTATTTTTTACTGTTTGTATAGTGTCCTTTATGAAACTTAAAAGCATGCATAATATGCTCAATGTGCATTTTATCTGCAGACATTTTGACTTGATTTTATTCAAATGAATATGATGTAAAAACACTTTAAAATAATCTCACATCAGGAATAATATGTTAAATTTCACAACTTGTAATTACATCACATATTTATATTAAGTAAAAACAGCTGTTAATAAAAATATGAAAAAATGTTCCATTTAAATTCCAATAAATTCCAAAACTGTAATATTAGTTGTATAAATGTTTTGCTATTCTGTATTGCTTATGTGTATTTTTTGACTTTTTTTTGAAATGATTTATATATGCTAGACTTGTAAACTTCTTGTTAAATTTGTGTTAAATCAGATAAAGATACCTATTTTTCCATTATATGGTCCAATTTTCCTTTCTGTTTCTGCATTAGACAGGTTTCACTATATACAGGTTAATTTATATTAATTTTTTGCGAAAAATTCAAGGGACTGAAGAAATTTTTCATTAATGACAGGTTTATATATATTACTATTAAATAATTCATAATTGGTATCATTAGAATCAGAAAACAATTTAGTTTAATAGTAAATTTTAAACAGAAAATATAATTTCTATTTAAAGGATAAAAATTGGCGTAACAGACGATCTCAAAAATTAGATAAAATGGAATTGCTAAGCTTACAATCAAGTTTACAAAGTGAAATCCAAGCCAAACAGGCTGTAAGTGAAGAATTAAGTCATGTCAGAGCAGAATTGATTGCTCATCAAAAGTAAGTTTTATTAATTTTATTTTGGTGAATTTTCATTGGAAAAATTTTAAATTTATAAATCTATATCTATATAAAAGGGAACTTCGAGATTATCAACAGAAACTTGATGCATATAGAAAAGACAATCAAAAGAAAGAAAGTAAAATTAGAGAACTCCAGCAAAGACTTGATTCTGGTGAAGGATGTATGTATTTATTATGATATTTGTATTAATATTTACTTCTAAGGATTTCAAAAGGTACAATTTTACAATTGATATAATTGAAATCAAAACAAATTCTGCTTTTACTTTCTATAATTTTATTCAGTTTAGTTTATAGTTAATGAATAAAAATATAATTTAGTGGAATTACTAGTTAATAAAAATTAAATATAATTTCTATGAAATAACACAATATATTTTAATTTTAACATGAAAATCAATTTGATATATTAATTAACTATATGATTTTTGGAGACGAGATTATTTTTTGCCTGTAAATTGCATTTTTTAAAAATTTAAATAAGATTACAGATTCATATCTATTCAGTACTTGACAAAATTAGGTAATATGATTTTAAATATAAAAAATCTAAACTGAAATGAATTGACTTCAATGAACATGAAATGTGCTCTTGCAAGTCACATGTAAAATCATTAAAAAATTGAGATCATTAAAAATCATTAAGATCTGAGTCTTAATAATAATTAGCATATTTATTCCACATAATTAAAATTTTACAGATTTTATTAATATATATGTTTTATCCAGTTACTGATTTTTGAGTAAATATAACTTATGACTTTTAATTATATGAAAAAAATAGTAAATTAAAATGGATTAAAAATTTGTTGAAATATTTTCAACTTTTCTTCTAATTCAAAAAACTAACTGTGCTTTGTCTTTTATCTTGCTGAAACAGACCCTCAAATAATGGAGCTTCTGCATTGTCTAAAGGGTAAATTTTAAGTTCTTTTTACCTTTAAATTTATTATTGTTTTATCTTTTTTATATTTCCAAAAAGTTTCTAAATTTTAAAAATCATGCATGATAAAAAAAAAGTATTTTACTGAAAATAAATTTTTATTCTTCAAAAATTCTGCCTGTATATAAGCTTTATATCATTATTAGTATTTAAATCAATATTTTATAAAATTTTAATATATTTATTTCCCAGAATTTAAAGTTACTTATAGGTGTTTCATGAGATTTTTGGCTAAATCTATCAGCATCTTATATTTTAACTGTTTTCTTTTGCCTAGCAGTTATCTTTTAATCACAAGCTGATCTTGAAATAATCTATTAAAATGCAAATGTATCAGAAATTTAATGTAAAGATAAAATTTTTTATGCAGTATTAATCAATATTATATGTGATCCCTATGAACTATTTTATTTGTGAAAATTTGTATTCTAGTATGGTTTATGTCGGGTGGGCAACTCGCAGTAATATTTTTTGTGACCTGTGTAAAATATGAATAAATATATCAATTTTCCAGCTTAAGGAAGTATGCAGCAAAAACTCAAATGTTATTTTCTACAATTTATGTATATGAATAGTTTTTCCACAATGAATTTAGTAAAAATTAAAACAAAAAACTGGCTAACAGATGCATCGAAACTAATTTAAAGCTAGTAGTGACTAATATTTAACCAAATATTTTTGATATATTACATTTACATCAATTCTAGAAGCTAAATTAAGTATACCTATTCTAATTTATAATTATATATGAATAAATAATTGTGATTTACTAACATTTTTTTTTTTTCTTCTTTTCTCTTGTATGCAGCCCGCATCAGTTCAAAAGTTTTGAAATGCAGCCCTTACATAGAAAAAGCTTGCCCATCCCTGGTTTATGTAATCTTCTCACAACCCAATTTTTTTCCAGAAGTTATAAGATATTGCTTTCAAAGTTCTGCATTGTAAAGTGCTGTGTGCTTTAAAATATATTTTCCATTTTTGTAAAATTTACATTTTTTCATTGATGAAATTAAATTCTTCAGTCCTTTCATGCTTGTGCTGTTTACAAACCAGTTTGTGAATGTCTCAAAGCAAATTAGGTAACTCAAGGTCACTTAACAAACATTATTTTAAAAATTCACCAAAAATCAAATTTTCATTATAAATGTATTTAAAAAAATCACATTTATATACTATTATTATTAGTTTTAGGTACAATATTTTCCACTTGTTTGTATTATAAATTTTTCAAAAAAAAAAAAAAAAAATGTTATGACTCATTTACAACTTGGAAATTTATGACATTTTGAAATAACATAAAATTTTTCAGTTTCTTTATTCATTTTTTGAACTAAGCCAGTTAAGATAACAAATATTGTTCTGTACATTTTCATATAAGATTTATGCATGTAGTGTTGTTGGTTTCTGAATTATAACACATTAGACCTGCATTAGTCATGTCAAGCAGATGAACATGTTTAGTTGTGTGGGGATCTCAGAGATGCAAGTTTTTATTTTAAAATTGTGAAATTATCAACATTGCATCAAAAAGTAAGATTATCTCTTTAATTTCTACATTTTTTCTTCTCTCTAATGATGTAAAATACTTGTGGATTGACAAAAATATGTTATTTATATTTATTTTAATGTAATTTGATCCAAAAATACCAAAAAGTAAACATATCGGATTTCACCTAGCTGTAAGGTTTCACAGATTGATGTAGGATTTGTCTGTAATTGGAGATTGGTAGATTGTCTTTCAAAGTCAGGATAGTAAAATTGTATTACTTTTGTAGGAGGGTGTCAGAAGACTGCAAGTCATGCCTACTTCTAATGTAAGCAAACCACAAAGTATTTTATGACCACAATAAAATGCTCCAATCCTGGTTAGTTGTTCAAATTACAATGTTATTATTTTATTGTACACAGAAGAATGTTTTCTTTAATGTTTAATTAACAAATAGTTTGTTAGATCTGATTAATTTTTTAACTGGCATGCTGGTCTTCTTCGTTTTTATGTTGGTTGTCATGCAAAAATATGTTAAAAAGTAATTTTGATTGTTTACCTGAAAAATTATTATGAAATGTGACATAAAAATGGCAATTGATATTGCTAAGTTTTCTAACACTTTTAGATTTTAAAATAGCTGTATTAATTATGCAATAAGAATTGAAGAGAAAAGTCTGTAATACTCTCAATAATCTAACATTGATAAAAAATTTTTGAAATATTTTAATTAATCTCAAATTTAAAATTCTCAAATGGAGTTGGTTATTTTGTATATAAAAACCAGCAGATGAGCCCAGCTTTGCCCAGGCAAAAAACAACAAAGATTAAGATTATTAGATTATTTCTTACTTCTAATCCTTCCATTCTAGTAGCCCAGGACACTCCCTAGTGGACGTTCTAGCAGCAGCAGTGTCATTCCGTGGTATAAATAATAAATTACTATTACAAATAAAAATAATAATATACTGAATTTCTCATGGTGTACCCTACTAAAACTCAGCCAAAAATGCAAAATACCGCATCAAATAATAATATACAGTGGAACCTCGGTATACGACCTTAATCCGTTCCTGATGTTTGGACTTATATCGAATAGGACGTATACCGAACCAACGTTTCCCATAAGAAGTAATGTAAAAATGATTAATCCGTTCTCATGTTTAAAAAAATGGCTGGCTTGAAATACCTCGCTTTCCTGGCTAGTTCCTGCTTGATTTTTCATGAGATCAGCATGTATCTTTTTAGCTTTCTTGCAACTAAATGGTTGTGATACACTGTCTCTAGCACACTGTTTTTCAGCTATCCAAAGCAAAAGCAATTTCTCAACATGATCTAATGTCTTCGATCTCTGTTTAGAAATTGTTTTAACCCCTTTCGCAACGTTAGCAGATTTAATAATGTCTTCATTTTTCACGATTGTCGATATCGTCGTTCTCGGAATACGGTATGCAACAGTTAAAATCTCGAACACTCATGCCACCTTCATATTTCTCAAAATCTTTTTTTTCAGTTCCATTGTGATTCTAGTCATTTTTTTAGTTTTCTGTTGCTTTTCATTTGCCTTTTTGCAATTCATGATTAATAAAAATAATAAAATTTTACTTACAAATTAAAATCAGAAGAAATTTAACAAAGTTAGAAACTGTGGCATCGGGAATGTTTAGTCTGGTCTAGTACACCGATAGTGCTACTTGTTCATAGATGGCGCGTATAATTGAATTAAGTCGTATACCGAACAAAAGTCGTATACCGAGCAAAATTTGTTTCGTCCAAACAGGACGTATTCCGAATTTGACGTATTCTAAAGCAGACGTATACCGAGGTACCACTGTACTGAATTTATTGTTAATTTAAATAATAGCTAGAGATGCTCCTAGTGGCCATTTTTGGCATATAGTGACAGAAAGAAAGAATCCAGTTTTTCAGCTTTATATATATATATATATAATTAGATATTGATGAAAAATGTTTAAAATAAAAAAAAATATAAAAAATTGTGGGAAATGTTCTAAAGGTTTAAATAAATTTATTCATTTCTGAATTTTTAGCATTCGTAGTGTTTTATCCTCAAAGTTAGTAATGTTTGAGTGTTTTAACTCTTAAGAAATTTTTTATATTCTTTAAAATTTTTCTTCTATACCTAAGCATATTTTTATATTCTGTTCTTTTTGTATTGTATATACAACATAATTCATTATGGTATTATGATGGTAAACATATTTGCCATGTAATGTAAGTGTGAACAAATGATATGAATGTTGTAATCTTTCATTAAATAGCAGAAATTAGTTAATGGCTTCTATTTATTTATGTAGTACTGTTTTTACATTTCAAATGAAAGTTAAATTATAAGATTAAAAATTTCTTACAAAATTATACACAAATTTTAAAATAACAACAAATTGATGTTTGCTGTTGTTTTAGAACTTTTTACTTCAGAAATATTTATTTTATTTATTTATTTCATTTTATTTCATTACATTTAGAGGAGAAGTCTTTATAGACATTTGATTTTTACCCCCTACAATAACATATCATAAAAACAAATAACACTTTTTAAAACAAAAACAAACAAAATAAAAACAGGTAACAAATCTTAAAAGATATGCAGCACTGTTTTACATTTTAATTTAAAATTAGGGAGATGGAGATGTAAAAATTTAACAAAATTATTAAGATTTTGCAATATACAATAGAAGAAAAATTGTTGGGATATATTTAGATGATAAAAAGGAGTAAAAACATAAGTAAATGAGCAAATTTTTCTCAATGAAATTTGGAGTGAAAGTTAATCTTGATAAATAAGACTATTAATTTAAAATATTTGTAATATATCAACTGATCAAAATATTTAATTCTCTCAAAGAAAGATGAATTCTAGCAATATTAGAATCAACAGTGAAAGGCAAATTACACATTTTGTTAAATGTAAGATATATCATTAATAGCATTAAGTAATCTTGTGTAAAAGGGAAGGTACAGCCATTGACCAGATGGGCAAGAGAAATAATAATATTTAGTAAATATTTTGTACATACACAAAACGACTGTGTGAATGCTGACATTCGACAGATATCGGTCATTCACAGTAACATCCACATAGAATAAGTCTTTGGTTATGTATAGATTTGAGGGAGCATAGAAAATGGTGTAAAGTTTGAAAAATACTCATTCTTTTAGGATGATCATAAATCGAAATAATAATCAATTGGAGATTTGGAATGTTAACAGCTATAATGGAGTCCTAATATTCAAAAATTTTGAATATATGAAGTGATATAGGGAATATTAATAATATGCCACCACCTTATTGAGTTTGATGGGTAAGAGAAAAAAATTGAAAATCCATTTGGTTAATAAAATTGGTAATGTCATATGATTCATGAGATATCCAGCTTTCAACAAGGATGTAAAAATTGAAATCATCACTAAGGATACTGGGTAAAGTTAAGAGCTTATTATTTATTGATCTGACATTCTGGAGGAAAATTCTGGATGAATTATTAGAGAAATACATAATGTTGTGTAAGTATCAAAAATAATTCTTATATAAAAAAAAGTAAATGTGACAAAACAAAGACAAATTTGACAAATACAAAAAACAAAACAACCCAGATGATGCACTTTCAAAATATTAAGATTAAGAAAAAGAACTAACTTGTAAAAAATATTCAGAATTAAAATCAGTTAATGAACAATATGCATCATCTGAATTAACAAAAAATATGGTTGAAGATAAGTTGGTTGGGTGAGTCCACTTATTGCAGGGTGAAGATAGTATGTAATGAGATAGTGCAGTGAATGATCCAACAAAATATGAAAAAACAATTGACTCTACTGAAGTAGAGACAAGCAGTTGGAATTCAGAGATAAATAATAAGTCTGTAAAAAGTATTCAGAATTATAATCAGTTAACAAACAATATGTACTATTCAAATTATGCTAATAATCAAATGATAGGGCCAGATCAATTATTAGGCTAAAACTTGACTAATTAATTACACATATGTTATCTGGACTGAAGTTAGGCAGTAGTTTTGCTGTCATCTTTTGTTAAATTTAATAATTAGAAATAAATAAATTAATATTTATTTCTGATTATTAAATTTAATACAAGATGGCATTATAACTGCATATCTTTAGGCCAAATTATGTAACATCTGTGTAATTAATTAGTAAGTTCCAACCTTGATAGTTAATTTGATTCTATTATTTCATTAATAATACAAAATTTTATAAAATTATCATGAGATAGAGATTCTACATATCTCTAGTGAATAATTTATTTATTTCTGTAATTTGTATAAAATGGCCTATTAAAATCTAAGTAATAACTGTTTATCATTTATCATACCTTAATCAGATTTTTATTTATATCCTATATAAAATTATTTTATGATATTTTATAAATCGCTAATTTGCTAATTAACATTCATATTATTTTTTTATTTTAGTTTTTGATAGACCATCCTCACAAATGTCATTTCTTGATCAATTCCTTAAAGATACATCTCAGTGTTTGGCAAGAAGTGAAAGTGGAGATTCTGCAGAAGCAGGAGATGAAGCAGACGTTGAAGACAATCAACCTCCATCTGTTGCTAGTAGCAAATCTAATGTTTCAGAAGCAAGTGCTGTAAGAAATTTATATACATAATTTCTTAATTATATTTTAAATAGTAAATTAATAAATATAATATTTCCTTTCTCAACTGTCTCACTGTCTAATGCTGGATTCACATTAGAACTACCAAATGTGGTTTTGATGGATCAAAATGCAAACAGTACTTGCCAGCTGGTTTGGAAAGATTTATACGTATGAGTGTTCCAGTAAAGGTTGGGTTAACAATATTTATTTAAAAGAATGACATTTTGTTAGTTGATTTTACAGCAAAATAATCACATTTAAGGATATATAAAGACACCATATAAACAATACCTATCAACAACATAAGATTGTAATTTTTGTATCTATAGTGAAGGCTTTTGGTTAAAAATTCTATAAACAGTTGTTAAAATATCAGTTTTCAAGTCTTGAGGTTGTTTGTTACTGTTTTCAAATTCACAAATCTACCCAATATGGAACTCAATTCAGTTCCTGTAACACACTTGTTGGTTTGTTGTCTGATTTTGTTTTCTTTCTATTTTCTCCATTAAATGATCTCTCATTCCCATGCTTAATAATGATGTTGGGCACTACATTATTCATATATTGTCTTTAGACAAGGCTGTAGGAAGGATAGATAGAGAATAAGAAGAAATATAAGTGGTCATGCTTGGTTTGGCTTTGGCCAAACCAAGCATGACCACTTATTTAAAAGTTTATTGGTTTGGTCTGATCATGGTCAGACTAAACCAATAAACTTTTCAAGGGAGTAAGGGTTATCATATCTGAGGCATGCTTTTCCCCTGGCAGCACACAAATCTATCCAGAGAGATTTAAAAATTAGAAAAATTGAAATAACTAGGTAAGTATTTAAAGTGAAAGCTTTATAAAGAAGCTTGGAGATGATGGCTGTAATTATGGCAATTCTTTCGATCAGACTACTTTTTCCCTTTTTCTCAGCCCTGTTATCTGTTTCATTTGTACCTTCCATGTCATTTTAAAATGTGATGACGTGGCACTTTGTTTTGATCAGTTGACTTTGATTTGCTGGTCTAGCAATTGACAAAAGTCAAGTCAGACAAACTGATCTGCTGGATTGGAATAACAGTGACTACTTGCAGTTCTTGTTGTCATTGCAGCTGAGTCTGGCATTATTAGTGTGAATCCTTATACTGGATTCACACTAATATAAGCAGATATAGCAGATGTGCAGTTTTAAGTGTTTTCCCAGGCTGCAGTATTGTAGCTAAAATGTATTTATAAGGGTAATAAACAAATATTTGTATGAATCCAACAATATGTAACTAAGTTAAATTTAAATATATTGTGTAAATTTAAATTAAAATAATTCTAATATATTTAGGAATATTTGAGTAGGCTATTCATTTTAAAATATTTTAATCAAAATTAGATGGCAGTCTATATGTATTGTACCCCTCATCAGAAAAATTATATATTTTTTAATATGGAATTTAAAGTAACGGTTTTTAACTCTTGTTGTAGTCATAAGAAATAATTTTATGTAATATATAAGAATTATTTTAGATACATATTGAAACATTAGTTTCTGAATGATGGTTAAAAAATAAAAATACGGATACATACTTGATTTATTACTTATATAGATTCATTCTATATGTTTAGGTTTTAACAATTTTTAGAATGAATAAATAAATATATATCCTGAATTTATTGAAGAAAATATTTTTGTTTTTATTAAATTTATTTACAATTAAATCTATCTCAAATCTCACGAGAACAAGAAAAAAATTCAAGATAGACAGAATTTGAGATATAGAGGTTCCTACATCGTAAACAGTAATAGGTTTAGTTGGAGGTACTGTATTGCATTAATACAATAGCAAGTAGAGTACTATAGATACCTATATTAGGTATAAACAAAACACTTTTGGCATACCTTACAGGAATAGTTCATTAATAGTTCTTGATGTGTGATTTTCTTCAACCAATAAGATGCAAGCCAAACTCATCGCCAATCAGAGAAAAGCAATGGAATTGCAATTATATACTATATTGCAAGAGATGTTTCTCAATCATAGTTTATGCTATCAAAATGTAGTCAATGATCTTTGAATTTGTAATTGATACTTTAATTTATAATTTGACATATAGAGGTTTGGGAAGAAAATTATTTGAGATAAACATGGAAAGTATATTGGCTGAAAATGCAGATGGAGAAAAATTTCAAGATAACAAGGTTTTAGAGATAAACATGTTTGAGATAGACAAGTTCAACTGTATTTATTTATTTTACATAATAATTTTAGACTGAATATCTATTTTCATGGAAATTTAATTTATCATCAAATTTTACACAATTTAGATATTTATACAAGAGGATAAAATCAGGTCAATTCTGATTGCATTTTCATGGAAAAGTATTATACATTTGATTTGCATCAGCTACTCTGTAAAATTGATTATGACATTGATGATAATTAAGTACTATATAGAAATAAGAAACTATTTTTATATTTTCAAAATTGAATGAAATATATGAATGGTTTATAGATACAACATATAACAAAGTTATTTTGATGTATCTATAAATTTTGTTTATTTATGTAAATTATTTAATTTGATTAATTGCTGATAATTTTTTTTTTTATTAAGGATCGTTTACAAATGTCTGTCTCACCTGTAATGGATTCAAGACCTGAAGTCAACCTTATAACACCAAAAGTAAATTTATATATCTTATATTTTTTTTCTTTCTTATAGTACATTTGTTTAATATTTCTGGATTTCTTTTGGATAACTTTTATGTAAAGAATCAATTTATTTTTACAATTTGGTTTACAGAAACAGAATTATCATCTTATAGAAATTTTAATAATTAGAATTAATTTTAAAACTTCTAGAGTATAAAATTAATCCAGAATAGAATTAAAATCTACTCTAGGTTGAACTTCTCTTGTAAATCTATTAGATATATAACCAAGATATGGTATCTGAGCTGCAAATCAATCTTTGCCTTTAAGATATGTATATAATTTAGAATCATATAACTATATAGATTATATTCTTACTTCAAAAGGGCTTGAAAATACCTACCAGTTTAATACTTTATTAAAACTAAGTAATAGCATACATAAATTTTATTCAGATGTTATTTAAATTAATATCTGAAATACAAAGGTGTCTTGTACAGTAATACCCTGAACTTAGGCGATAGGTGGGACTGAATGATAACCACGTAAGTTGGGGTATAATTTTGCATGTAAATACATACAAATAATTTTTAATTGGGTCCGGAGACTAAAGAAAACAATAATTTAGAAAAAATGTTTAATAAAATCTTATATAATACATATGTATAACAAATTATATTATTATACAATTTTTCACATTTACTTGATTATCATACCATAATTTTAACATTGTTTCCATCTCAGGGATAATACCATGACGTTTATGAATGATGCTTAAATTTAAAGATTGAGCATTTTTTACAGCTTCGAGAATTTTTTCTTTATCTTTTATAATTGTTCTGACTGTCGATTCCGGTAGATCAAACTTCTTTGCCAATTCACAAATTTTCATTTTTGTATCAAAGTTTTTAATAATGTTAACTTTACATTCCAAAGATAAAGTTTCTTTTCTTGTTTGATGCAGAAGAATCAATTCTACTTCATTTAGATGACATAGTAGAGTCTCTCGAGTCTCTGTAGATATAACAAACACAGAAATAAATAACACAAAATAAATTGTAGCAATGTGTCAATTCTGCACGATATGTCCGAACATGTAAGCTGAATAATAGTGTGGGGGGAGTGAGTAATCAAGAGTTGCGTGGTGCTCAAAAGACGAAGACAAATCTATGAGATTTTAAAATCGTATAACTCCGGGTTCGCGTAAGTCAAGGTATTACTGTACTTCAAATTTAATTCATTTTAGGATGTTTGAAGTTCAAATTAATTTTCCCGTTAAGAATAACAAAAACTTAATTAATATATTTCCAGACCCTAAACAATATGAATTTCAATAAACTTAAAACAGCAAATACATGTAATTTAAGATAAAAACAACACAATTAAATGCCCTGATAAGAAACTAAAACACAAAAGTAATAAATAAAATACATAAATACTGTATAATAAAATAAAAGTTGTAGTAACTGATTGCATACCATTGTCTTCAGCATCTTAAATGTGGCTGCCAGATCTTCAAAAGTATATTGCTTTTACACTTTGCAATAACTTCTTTTTTCACCTCAATTGTCAATATTACAACCTTCCTCTTAGGCTTTGTTGCCTCCACACACTTCTTGGATGCCATTATTAATAAGTAAAGGTTATATTGAGTTGAACAGACAGTTTTTGCATGTTTTTGACAGTTGTCATTATTTAACATAGATGTGTGATTTAATTATAACAGTTGTGAAATTTAATGCGTTATTGCTAATATGATATTATATTCTTTAGAAGTTTTGTTTAGAAGCTTATTTTAAACTTTTTACTACACATTTTGTTTGAATAAAATCAAGTTACGTCTTCAGATAAAAAAAAGTATTGGGCATATTATGCTTTGAGTTTCAGAAAGGATGTAACACTTCTTTAGTGTTTGAAATACAAGATACTACTGTATTACAATATATGCAGTATGTTTGCTCTCAAGTGTATCTCAAAGTTTGACATCATATTTTGAAGGATATCTTTTGGAATAACAAAGAGCACACATTCCATAAATGACTTGAATGCTTCCAAACTCTGAGTGGCCTAGTACACACTTCTTGAGATATTCCTATAAAATAAAAACTAAAATGAGGATTCAAATTGGAGAATACACAAGCTAATCATTTCTATTTCCATAGTGCTTTTAGTAATGAAAAGCAATGACATTGTCTCCAAATAATCATTCAAAAAGCTAAATTTAATTAAATTCAACCAAATCAAGTGATAAACAAATAGCTTGAGTACTTCAGTGAGTCAGAAAAGTTTCTTGTTTCAGATAAAATCGCATTTAAAGTTGATAAATGTTTTTATTGCACCACCCTGTATACTACCAAAATCATAATCTGTATGATTATATTGTATAATTTTAAATTTTATATACATTATCTTGCAGAACATGTTCAGACTCTTCATCATAGATACATCCCCTTCACAAATTATTTTTATGATAAAAAAACAGAATCATTGAAGAATTCTATAAAAGAAAATCAACAGCTGTGGAATTAACATTTTAATACATAGGCATTATGAACGAATTCCACTGTAGAGTTGTGTTTGATTGTAAACTGAAGAGGTGTTATTTGGAATTAGATCTGAATAGGGGTAAAGAACTACAAAAAATTTATTGATGCATAATTTCCAACTTTAGTAAGTTTGATAAAATTACGGAGTTAAAGAAATAAAGTTTTATTCTTCTATGTAAAAGATCAACAGTCACTATACTGGAGATTTGAATTGGTATCATGCTTAATAACAGTAGATTGAATGTAATAAAATGCATTTTAAGAGTGAGAAATTATGGTTTAGTATCTGGTAATCTGATGACAACTTTTATCTATACTAATATTATAAAGAGGTAATGTTTGTATGTATGTAAGTTTGTATGCAGCAGGTAATCTCCGAAACTACTCATCCGATTTCAAAAATTCTTTCACCAATATTTAGAATGGAACTTCAGGGTGGACATAGGCTGTATATTATTCCGTTAAACATTCATATAAATTNTTTTCATAGGTAAAATACTTGTTTATTATTTAAGTAAATATTCTACCAGAGGATTATTCATTTTATATGATGATCTCAGCATGAGCATCATCAACTGGTAACAGTTTTTGGGTTCATTCTGTGGGTGGTTAATAGTGAACGCTCTGCAACGGGAGTGCACTGCTGCTTGTAGGCATTTAGGAATAACAGTGAAAGAAAGATGGTGGAACCCCCACTATCTATAATATCATGTGGAGGAATCTATAATTCTAAAATGAGCTTTTAGAGGCAAAAGAAGGGTCCCAATTGTAAAATTTAACCATTAAATGGATTATTTGTTGAAAGAGCATTCAAAGTAGCCACAAAAACAATTAGAATGCTCGCGCGGAGTTACGTGGAGGTATAAAAGAACGCACCCTTTATTACATTTTATGTCGTACGAGGGTTTTACCCAATTCCCGAACTGTGTTAGAGTGAACCCATGCTATAAAAGCACCGTATTATACGGGGAATGTTCCCAATTCTCAAACTGTGTTAGAGTGAATCTGTGCTATAGAAGTGCCATGTTATACGGGGGTTACCTGTATTGTATTTTTGAACATCATTATTTTTTATCAATTAACCCAAGAATGACCAATTGATTTGACTGAAAATGTTAGTTACATTTTAATAAATTTTTCTCAGCAACTTAAGGTGTTGTGGTGTAGTTTATTGTTTGCTGAGTGAGTTACCCCGCCACGCGTTGTTGTGGCTCAAAATGTATCTACTGTATATAAATATCAACAACTCATAGCCCGAGTAGTAAATACATCACCAAACGATCGCCTAAATATTGGGCTATAATACGGCTAATTAAATGATTGGAATAAAGTAATTTGACACTCAAATTACTTTATTCCAATCATTTAATTAGCCGTATTATAGCCCGATATTTAGGCGATCGTTTGGTGATGTATTTACTACTCGGGCTATGAGTTGTTGATATTTATATACAGTAGATACATTTTGAGCCACAACAACGCGTGGCGGGGTAACTCACTCAGCAAACAATAAACTACACCACAACACCTTAAGTTGCTGAGAAAAATTTATTAAAATGTAACTAACATTTTCAGTCAAATCAATTGGTCATTCTTGGGTTAATTGATAAAAAATAATGATGTTCAAAAATACAATACAGGTAACCCCCGTATAACATGGCACTTCTATAGCACAGATTCACTCTAACACAGTTTGAGAATTGGGAACATTCCCCGTATAATACGGTGCTTTTATAGCATGGGTTCACTCTAACACAGTTCGGGAATTGGGTAAAACCCTCGTACGACATAAAATGTAATAAAGGGTGCGTTCTTTTATACCTCCACGTAACTCCGCGCGAGCATTCTAATTGTTTTTGTGGCTACTTTGAATGCTCTTTCAACAAATAATCCATTTAATGGTTAAATTTTACAGTTGGGACCCTTCTTTTGCCTCTATAAGCTCATTTTAGAATTATAGATTCCTCCACATGATATTATAGATAGTGGGGGTTCCACCATCTTTCTTTCACTGTTATTCCTAAATGCCTACAAGCAGCAGTGCACTCCCGTTGCAGAGCGTTCACTATTAACCACCCACAGAATGAACCCAAAAACTGTTACCAGTTGATGATGCTCATGCTGAGATCATCATATAAAATGAATAATCCTCTGGTAGAATATTTACTTAAATAATAAACAAGTATTTTACCTATGAAAAAAATGAATAATAAATCCAATTTAAATAAGGATTTAACAACATGTTTTTTAATTTTTGGAACCTAACTCTTCTTTTTGCATTAGTTCTTTGTTTCATATAACACGGATTTGTATAACACAGCAATTTTCTGGAACGTAACTTCCGTGTTATAGAGGGGTTATCTGTATATAAATTCAAATACAAATACAGTAGAACCTCCATTATCCGGACCTCCATTATCCGGATTTTTGATTATCCGGATTGTTCAAAATAAACAAAAATTTTACGAATTTGCTGATTTGCAAT